CAGTTTCCTGCTATTGAAACTGCTCTTATTTCTACTACTCATAAAGTTATAAAAACATTATAATCCACAAGGACAAACTATTGGTAAAAGGACACATAAAAGTCTAAAAACACAATTGTTAAAAAATAAAAAAGGGGGAACTCCCCGAGATACCTTAACATTAACACTTTTCAATTCACATTTTTTAAATTTACCTCAGGGTGATATTTTGACTGCAGCAGATAAACATTTTGGTGAACCTCCCTCTTTGCCAAACATACAAATCCCGATTTAGTATAAATCTTTTAACTCTTGGTTGTCTGGGCTCTTACTTAAAAAGGCCAAGGGTTATGCTTGTGTTTCTATAGATGTCTATGGATCCCCTGAAACATTATGGGTTCCTTTTCTGAACATCAGGCCCAGAAAAACCAATGAACATGTCTAACAAAATGATGACCGCCCCTCAGAGGGAGACACCTGAAGATGAACAAATGGAACAGGCCACATACAAGACTATATCATATAAACATTGGAAATATTCCCCTGCTCATTGGAGCAATTGCCATGCCAGCACTGGAAAGTTACTTGTATTCACTCATAATTTCTCTTTTATTGATTGCGGTCCTCATGGACGCTTTGTACACAATTGTCCTGAAGATCGGAATAAGATGTTCTGTGATTATATTAACAAAATTGTTTGGCAAAATAGTCTGTTACATAGAGAACATCATATGAAAGGACTAATGGCATGGCATGATGGGGGAGTGTCATCCCCAAGGCCCCGATTGCTAATACAAAATATTACTTACTCAGAGCAACCTGAGATCTGGAAATTGGTAGCTTCCTCTGTGCCGATGATCTATTGGAAAGGAAACTTTTCTGGAAGCAAATATTCCTGGTCTGACTATGTCTTTGATTAATGCATCCTTTTATGTGCAAACATGTGTCAATTTACCATATGTCTTAGCTCTTGGAACTTTTAGTTTTAATTTTGCTCTAACAAGTGTTGATTACTTTGATTGTAGACTATACACCTATGTTAACAATTCTTTGTCTATTAATTGGCTCTCTCAAGCATTGTTTATATTAAGGTCAAGAAAAGATGTTTGGTTGCTTGTAAACTTAACAAGAGAATGGCAACACTCTCCCTTAGAAGTTTTAATGACTAAAGTAGTGTCTTAATTATTGACAAGATCAAAAAGATTGATCAAATGGGTTATTCTTGCTATAGTTGGTCTTGTCATTTTTTTGTATAGGATAATCCTGTCTCCAACAACAATTAAATTCCTACAAAATTTCTGAAGCCATGGTCACATTGGGATTGCTATGTTTAAAAAATATTAAAGGGGGAATTGTTGGAGCCAGCAATGGGAACTTGCTTGTGTGAATTGGTACCTAGCCTTGTGAGAAAGCTCCAAGGAATTGGGGCAAAAGTCTCAGACCAGACTGTGCCTGTGTGAGTTGGTATCTGGCCTTGTGAGAAAGCCAGATGTCCAGAAACATGATATTCAAGATTCCCAGATGGCTTCGTGTCCTTCAGATATAAAGAACAAAGTTATGTTGATTTTTTGCTTCTCCTACTTCTCTGTTCCCATTTTAAAAGAGACATAACAAAGAGTTAATTTTAACTGTGCTTCCCTGTACTAATGTAATCTTGACACATAATACTTGGCATGCTTTTTCTGACCAAATGCTTTCTGTGTAAAAAGAGTTTATAAAAAGCAATGTATACTTCATTAAAGTGGCTATTGAGCAGGACTCAGTAGTCCCCTCATCTTTTATGGCTTCAGTTAACCAGGTTCCTCTGTTAAATGGCATTACACAATGGTATCATTCTTTTTTGCTTTTTTGTAGAACACATTATGAGCTCTTCCCTTAGCAGATATTTAAGATCTCATGGTATATTGTTAAATACTGAACTATGAGGAATAGAAGAGCTCCACAATATTTGATAATTAAATCATTGCAGCACTGAATGATTTCCCTCCTTCCTCAACTATGGAAACTACTATCCTATTCTCTGCTTCTATGAGTTTAATTATTTGAATCTTCACTTAAGTGGAAATCACACAATGTTTCCCGTGGCAGGCTTATCTCACTTAGTTGGTGTCCTTAACATTCATTCATGTTGTCATGAATGGCAGCATTTCCTATGTAAAGCCCAATAATGCTCCAGAGTATGTACATGCCACATTTTCTCTGTTGGTTCATATATCTGTAGACACCTAGGTAGTTTATGAACTTAACTATTATGTATAATATCTCAATGAACAGGAGTCAGTATCTCTTCAGAATTGTATCTGTACACAGTGATAGGATTGCTTGGTCTTAGGCAAATTCTGCTTTTTATGTTTTTGAATTTCTACAAGTTTTGCTAAATACCATGCCATTTTACATTACTACCAACAATGTACAAGGTTTCCAAGTTCTCCGTATCTGAGCAACATTTTTAATCTTTTCTCTAACCATTCTTATCTTCCATTTCTACTTGTTTTTAATGGTCCACCTTGAGCCCAGCACTGAAATGGTGCAATATTTCATGATGTCTTCAGTTTAGGAAAAGTTTGAGGCCAAGTATCCCCAAGGAGTATGAAAATAAGTCTTTCCAAATTCTTGGCTCCACATAAAATGCAGATCTGGAATGTTTCCATCCCAGACATGGTGTTTTTCAGTGTGTATGTGCCACCTGAGCTCAACTGTGGCACACACAACTCACAGCAGAAAAGGAGTAGGACATTATTTTGGTTTAAGGTAGAATTTAGCTTAAAACTTGTCATCAAGGGAGAATATGTTTTCATAAGTTATTGCTGCATGTAAGTCACAAATTCTCTGATTTTTGTACTATTACATTTATTCATATTCACTAATCTCAAAATTGTTTTTAGTTTCTGTTTACCACGTTATTTAGCTCCATATTGATCTTGGAGTTCTGAGTCTGTTATTTAGTTGACTGTTTTACAAAATATTTTAGGAGTTTTTCCAGATAATCCTTGAGACAAATGAACTCCTTACAGTAGTTTTTCTCAGTTATAAAAGGAAGTATCCTTGTAAATTCTTACAAATTCCCAGACCCTTAAGTGAGGGAGCATGGCTTTTACAGGACATTTAATTTACCCAACATTTTCAGTTTTCTTTTGGATTTTGTCTGTGCTACCATTTTTTCAGTGTAAGAAAGCTTAAAATCTCAGTCATTAACATTCATAGTCCAATTTGGTGACAAGGAAATGTAATAAACATGAAATCTTTTACTACTGTTATTGGTCATTTAAATTTTTTATATTTATATTTCTTCATAGAGAAAAATATATTATTTCAAAAATTTTACTAACTTTGCTAATTTCTCAGATTCAATGAGAGTTTTTTTTCTAGCTTTATAGTTATAGTGGTAGTTTTGGAATCAAAAAGAACTCAGATTATATTCCTGAGTAGATCATGGAAAAACTAAATATTCACATCTGAAAATGAACAAAAATATGATTATTGAAGTATAATATTTAAAGTGGATAATACCACCTGGTATCTAATATTTGCTAATAGTTGACTTTTTTTAGGTTCTACTCTAAAAGTCACTAATGAAAAAGTAGATATTAAAATAAATAAAGACAAACAGAAAAGTAGAATAATTAAAGAAGAAAAGGAAAGTGGGAAAGAAGGAGGTCAATACTGAAGGAAGGAACACAGATAAAGAAGAAGGGAGAGAGAAAAGAAGAAATGAATTGGAAAAAAGAACAGTTTTTCTGGATTAAGATGTAAATATTAATCATTAAAGTAATTTAGGTAATGTGGATGAGTAGTTTAAATATGAGTGAACATAGAATCTATTCTATTCCCCATGATGACATTCAAGACTTAAAGTTGCTACCATACATTTACTGTTCAAGCTAGTCTCTAAAATGAAATATTATGTTTAGAGCTAAAGACAAGTCAATTTATGATAGCAAGCATCACTGCACAGGACGATGAATGGATGATTTTCCAAAAATACACTAACATGAAGAAATCCAATATGTAACAAATACTATATACAATGCTAAGAATGTGCATTGAGGTTTTCGTCTCTTTTGAACACAAATGTTCTATCTCAGGACATTTGGTATCAGTTTCTCCCATAGTTGGTTAATAGAATGGTTCAATTCAGGTTGCTCATGCATATCCACTTATCATAGATTTATGTCTGAGAATTGCATGTTTTGTTTCTGAAATGTGTCATTAGATGACTTCCCTGTATCCATTTTGGTAGAGGCCTCAAATATATTTTAGAGCTATGCACTGAAGAAAATTCTGAGTGATTCCCTATAAAAGAGATAGACTGAATACTTAGAAATACTTTTTTGAAGAACATTTACTGCTGACATTTTTAATTAAAATAGTCATTTTCACACCTGTGTGTACTGTATTTCTGCTGCTTAGTTTCTTTCCTGCATTCCTGCACTTAGATATGTCTCCTCCTTAAACACAAGGCTGTGCAAGCATTTAAATTCAAGAAACCCTTATATTAAATGTCAAGTTTAATGCTAAGATATGAACTTGGATTTTTTTCTGTTTATTTGAATATTAATTTTTTTCTTATATTCTAGTATTTGTAGTTCTCCTCTTTATCTTTGCATCTTAATAGAGCTTAGCATACTGAGTGGAAGAAGCACATGAGTCAGTGGTGTCTGAGTTTATTTTTAGCGACTTTGCTCCTCAAAAGAACTCTAGATCTTCCTCTTCCTGCCGTTTTCTACAATCTAGCTGATGACTTTAGTACGTAAACATTTTCATACCTGTGTGTATTGTATTTCTGCTGGTTAGTTTCTTACACCTGCCTTTCTGCACTTAGGTGTGTCTCCTACTTAGACATAAGTCTGTGCATGCACTTAAATTCAAGAAACCCTTATATTAAATTTTGGGTTTAAAGAAATGTAAGATATGAACTTGGATTTATCCTGCTTGTTTGAACATTAAGTTTTTTTCTTCTATTCTAGGTGTTTCCAGTTCTCCCCTTTATCTTTGCATCTCAATAGAATATAGCATACTGAATGGAAGAAGGAAACCAGTCTGTAGTATCTGAGTTTATGTTTCAGGGACTTTGCACCTCAAAAGAACTCCAGATCTTCCTCTTCCTGCCATTTTCTACAATATGCCTGATGACTTTCGTAGACAACCTTTTTGTTGTGGTAGTGATCATCACTGACCACCATCTCCACTCCCCCATGTACTTCCTGTTAGCTAATCTTTCATTTGTTGACTTCTGCCTTTCCTCAGTTACCACCCCTAAACTGACCACAGACCTCCTACAGGACAGTAAGACCATTTCTTTTGGGAGTTGTATGATGCAGATTCTTAGTGTGCATTTTTTTGGAGCAGTTGAGATTGTGACTCTTGTGATGATGGGTTATGATCGTTATGTGGCCATCTGCAAACCACTTCATTACAGCAGTATCATGGGCAGACAGAAGTGCATTGGACTAGTTTGGGTATCTTGGATCATTGGCTTTTTGCATTCCATAATTCAAGTGGTCATAATTTTGTGTTCGCCCCTCTGTGGACCCAAAGTATTGGACAGCTTTTTCTGTGATATTCCGTTGGTGGCAAAATTAGCATGTGTGGATACTGACACATTTGCAATAGTCATAAATGTTAATAGTGGTATTTTTTTCATTCTCTTAATGATCTCCTATACCTACATACTATTAACAGTCTTCCTTCACTCTAAACATGGTGCATCAAAGGCACTCTCTACTTGTACATCACACATCATTGTGGTGGTGCTGTTCTATGGACCCTGCATTTTCATCTACCTATGGGCAATCAACATCACATGGGTGGACAAGTTTCTTTCTATGTTTTACATAATAATCACACCTGTCCTGAATCCAGCCACTTATACACTGAGAAATAAAGAGATTAAGAATGCCATAAAGAGGCTGGTTCATGGCTTAAGTGGTAGATCACTTGCCTCACAACTGGCCTGAGTTCAATCCCAACTATGAAAATAATAACAATAAATAATTCCATAAAGAAACTGATAATTTATTATGTGAATACAGGGTGTATTTGTGAGATATATCCTATAAGCAGAAAGTCCAGTGTGCAGTCTAATTAGCCACATTTTGATCTTTACATTGAACTTCATATATGACTCATTCATTTCTGTAAGCTATGAGTGATCATAGATGTAAAATGTTTATATTTTCCATTATGAAAATATGTTCAAAAGTATAATACTTGGAATCTCATTCCTTAGAGAAATCATAATTTTGAATAAGTTTCTCCATGTATAAGTTTAAAGATTTTAAGATGATGACAATACTTAAAACTCTAAAAATAACATTTGTCACAATTTGTTAAACAATACCTGTGTTCCCAAAACTATGCAAGACATTAGCCTAGATAATATATTACAAAACACATCGTTGTCATTGCCCCCACTTCTAAAACTACAGCATCACATATCTAACTTACACTTTTTCTATCACCATACTCCCCTAATATTCAACAGTTCACAGTGCATTATGTTATAATATATCCATATAGATGTGTTGTTTCAATATTTTTCATTTTCTTTCCCTCTCATGCCTCACATTGTCCCCTCAGAAAAACAAATAATACAATCTTGTTCTCTCTCTCAGTATATCTATATGTATATATATATTATATGTGTGTACATAACACACACATATGTCCTCATATATGTATTTATATATACATTTAATAGGCATTATTGTTTATTCCTTACTGCTCTTATTTTTCATGTTAAACTTTATCATATATATATAAATACACACACATATATTTGAATATACATCATATATAGAATTTGATAGAACCTGTCATTGTAACTCCTGTTTTGATTTGCTATTTTCAATTAATTGGATGTAAAATATATGATTAAGTCCTTATTTGCTTGTTTTCCACTCTCTCCTTCTGTCCCTGTCCCTTTTTATTTTTCTCATTCACAGTCTCATCTTCAACTCTTTCATTTCCAGGGCTCGAAATATTTATGGGAATTTATTTCCTCTGCCATCAATTATAGTAACCTGAAATCTAGATCACATAATCATCTGTCAGAGAACTTAATGATTCAGGGTTTACTCACTTCCTGGCAGGTTCCAAACCCTTTTCTTGTACTCCTTGATTTAATCACATTCACTTGGATTCACTTGTAGATGACAAAAATTGAAGAGGTGAGGAGACTTGTCCATATCACAAAGCTATTAAAGGAAGGATCTGGGAGAGTTATCTGGGGAAGGTGTTGATTTGGTGGAGTGTTAGAGTTAAATTATAATTTCTGTGATTCTTAAAAAAGAAACAAACCTTAATGATATAGTAAATAAATTGCTATCATTTAATAAGTGTTTTGTAATTTTTGTGTTAACATTTTCACTTTAGTTATAATATACTTTACATGTAATAAAACTCATAAAACTATCAAATGTAATAAATAAAGTCTATTACTCTGCATGTAAACATATACATGTTGAATAACATCATGGTATGCAGATATATAATAATTCTATTTTAAACCTGATCCTCTATGCTGTCCTATACTCAACCACACAACACATCCCAAACTCAGGTCACTACTGATCTGAGCTTTGCTTTTATTTTAAATCATTTTATTGTATGTGCTTAAGGGGCAAAGCATGATGCTGTGACATAAATATGCACAGTTGAACAAATTAATGTTTCTATCATGTTATACAATGCTGTGACTCTCTCTGTGTGTAACAGGAGTGTTTAAATCTTTAACAGACAATTCCACCCTGTGCTCTCCATCATCACGCAGAATATCACATCTAGATTTATTCATTCTAACTGCACATTTGTGAATGTTGACCTACTTCTTTCTGTTTTGTACTCCAGTTTAGTCCTGTAATCACAGTGTACTGCTTCTATTTATTCAACTGTTTTATTAAAAGGTTCTGTATATAACATATACTATTTTTCTTTTATCTGGCTTATTTCACTTATCATAATGTCCTCCTGGTTCACCCACGTCACCAATGACATTATATCCTTCTCTGTAAATTCTCAGTAATATTTCAAAGTACTTATGAATGTGTGTATATATAGATACACACATATTATATATATCACACATACATGTGTGTGTATATAGATACACACATATTATATATATCACACATACATGTGTGTGTATTATGAGATGAATGGCAAATGTCCATATGACAAGGTATCTATAGATGTGCCAATCACAGTTTTAACTTCTTTAAAACTTTTCTCTAAGTTGGTCTGTGATCACCATGAGATTGCATAAAGCTAGAAGATGTCTGCAATAAGTAGAGCTGACCTGTGGGAATTTTACAACATGTGACTGGAAATAATATTGGAGGATCTAATTTTCTATATGGAAATCAAAGGAATTTCTTTTTTTCTCTTTTCTGTTTTATAAATTAGTTGTATAAAGTGTTGCCATGGAGATGTATCCATACATACACATAATGTATTTTGATGAAATTCCCCCTCTCTATTATTCTCCACTAGCTCATTTCTCCTCCCTTTTAATAGTTTTTAATGGGTTTCAATTTTCTATTTTCATAAATATGTATATATTTATGTATATATAATGTACTTCAATCATATTCAATCCACATCACTCTCTCCTTTCCTCCTCCCCACCTGCTGGCCCCTCACCCCAAACAGTTTTCCTTTCTCAGTTATATTATATTAATCAGTTACTACTATTATTATTATTTAGGTCTAGATAACACATATGAACAAAAATATGTGACATTTATCTCTCTGTGCTTGGCTTATTTCACTCAACATGATGACATCCAATTCTATTCATTTTCTTGCAAACAGTATAATTTCATTTTTCTTTATGGCTGAATAATACATATATATATAACATTTTTTCATACATTCTTCAGTTGATGATTGATTCCATACTTTGGCTATTGTGAATAGTGCTGCAATAAACATGGATGTGCAAGTGTCACCATTGTATGTTTAATTGCACTCCTAATTATATGCCCTATTGTAGTATAGCAGGATCATATGCTAGTGTTTTTTCAAAGGAATTTCTTTTTTATTATCATATTATTGTTGTAGTAGGGGTACATTGCAACATTTACAAAAGCACTTACAATATAATGTAATTAAATTCACCACCTACATCATTCTCTCAAAGGAATTTCTTGAACATATTCTTGGAACATAGGCTCAAGGCAACCCAGAAGAAAGAGACGCTGTACATCAAAAAAATGAAGAGAGGATCCAAATTAACAAAATCAAGGCAAAAATGGTATGTTACAACAGTCTCTACTTATATCAAGAGAATCACTATAGACTGATTTGAAAAGTTATATTCCAATAAATTGGAAAACTTAAAAGAAATGCACAAATTTCTAGACATATATGAAATAACAAAATTGAATCAAAATGATATAAAAACTAAGCAGATCAATGTCAGTTAATGATATTAAAGGAGTAACAAAAATTCCCCCAAGAATGAAAAGTTCAAAACTGGATGAATTCCCTGCTGAATTCTACCAGAGCTTTGAAGAAGAACCAACATCAATGATCCTCAAAGTATTCCATAAAATAGAATAGCAAGGAGTGCTTCCAAACTCATTCTGAGACAGTATTTCCCTGATACCAAAACCAAATATGGACACAAGAGAAATAAAAACTATAGACCAATATCTTTAATGAACATAGGGACAAAAGTCTTTAATAAATTAATTGAAACTGAATTCTGTAATTCTTAAAATGGCAATACACTGTCATCAAATCAGTTTCACTCTGTGAATACAAGAAGAGTTTAACATATGCAAATCAAAACATATAATATATCAATAGAATCAAGAATAAGAAAATCACATGCTATCACAATACATGCAGAAAAAAACTTTCAATAATTCAATAAGCTTTTATCATAAAAATCCTGAAGAATCTAGGTATAGAAGGTGTGTTAGTCAAACCTTTCATTGCTGTGGCAATATACTTAAGAAAACGAGATAAGGAAGGAGTTTTATTTCCTGTCATAGTTTTACAGGTTTTTTGTAGCAGGGCAGTTACATGTTTCTGAGCTGATTATAAAGCAGAGGTGTTCAACTTATGGCAGGTAGCCAACAGCGTGAGGCCAGTGCAAGAAACAGCCTCCGGTGACACGCTCCAAGTTTCCACTTTCTCCCATTGGGAGCCACCTTCCATAGGTCCACCATCTCCCAGGAGACTATTAAATATTTTAATCCACCATGGATTAAACCATTGATCAGTTCAGCACTCTAATGATCTAATCAGTTCTGGAAACACCCTCACAGGTGAATCCAGAAGTGTGCTTTAATGAATTCTTAGACATCCTTACTCCAATCAAGTTGACAATCAAGATTAACCATCACAGAAAGTTTATCACTTAACATAATATATTTTATATGTCTCAAACTCATCACCAAAGAGTATAAATGTGGAAAATCTGAATGCAATTCCTCTAAAATCAAGAATATTATAGGATGTCCACACCACTCTTTTGCAATTTAGTACTTAGAATTTAAGCCAAAGCTGTAAGGCAAGGGAAAAATGTCAAATAAAACAATAAGAAAGAGGGAAGTGAAAATATGTCACCTTGCAGATGATCTGATCATTTATTTAGAGGAGTCCAGGAAATCCAGGAATTGTTTGAGAAGATATCTTCATTTTATCACAAATGTTTGCAGAACGTCCATATCTTTCATGATTATATATGTGAATTTGATATTAAATTACAATGAATTTTGCTTAAATGTGAGGGACAAATGCATATGAAACGTTAAGACCTTATTGTGAAGTATAAGATCCTCTCAGTAACATCAGCATTTGTGATCATAATCTCCATGGATAATGTTGATGCCAATGAGGTCTTTGGATTCATTTTTAATTTAGTAAAACAAGCAACAGAGTTTCTGTATGAACAGTCCTAAAGTAGAACATTACTATCAGTGTGATACAGATTTTACTGCAGTTTGTA